CATGTGAGTTTTTATGATTCTACGCATCATAGTGGATCCTGAGTGACCAAAACGGTCGTGCCAAATCTTAAAAAGTTTAGGATCAGTGAACTTCTAGTTTATAACTACATAGACTTCAACATTCTTTAGGAATGTGTAATATTACCCTGATGAGAAAGCAGGGAGTTTCTCCAATACATGTTTCTGACATGAAATATTAGCAATGATACATAGAAACTCTCCATCCTTTTCACTTAAAAGTTTCAATGTGGTATCCATTGAGTCATATATCTTTGAAATTAAGCAAACTTCTTCTGGATTTGCTAGAATATAAAGCATCATGGATACTTAATTTAGTTCCGCTCGGTAACAAGAGTGTTGCTCTTCCAGAGCCCTTAATTATGTTTACAGACCCTGATATGGTATTTACTTTAGCTTCAGTAAATGTCAAATTTGAAAAGTATTTTCCATCCTGAAGGATGGTGTGCGTCGTTGCACTGTCTACTATACAAATGTCTCTATCATTACTAGATATCGATGTTTCATTTTTTAAGTTCATCGTTTAAAGAATTTTTTTTTTTTTTACATTAGTGAGGATGTTTACATAAACTAAGGAGGTATAAACATGACAAAAGTTACATAAATCCTGGAAATCACAGGCATTTTCATAACTACTCTAACATTTCACATCAACATTTCCAAAGAAATCTAAGACATTAAGGCCAGTCGGATCAAAATTATCAATATGATTTGACTCAAAGGCATTAGTGAGATTTGTTTCTATCTTTTTGTTGTTAATTGATGCTTGATACAATTCCACCAAATGCTTGGGCGTATGGCAAGTACGTGACCAGTGGTCTTTTCCTCCACATCTATAGCACTTGTTTTCATTATTCTTGTTCTGTGAGTGGTTTCTTTCATTTTTTGATTCAATCTTGCTCCACTTTGGGTGGTGCCATTGAAATTTCTTGTTATGACCACCTTTGGGTCGATAATTGTTTCGCCCATGACCTCGACCTGGACCCCGCCCACCCCTATGATTATTACTGCTAGTCGTTGCGTTCACTTCGGGGAACGGTTGGGAACCAGTGGGGCAAGTCTGGTGGTTTCTTAGCAACAATTCATTATTTTGCTCAACCACAAGTAAACAAGAAATTAATTCAGAATATTTCTTATAGTTATGCTCCCTGTATTGCTGTTGCAGAAGCATATTGGAAGGGTGGAAAGTGGCGAATGTTTTTTTCCAACATATTTTCTTCAGTTATTTTCTCTCCACATAATCTTAATTTAGAGACAATCCCAAATAAAGCAGAATTATATTCATTGACAGATTTATAGTCCTGTAGATGTAAATGAGTCCAGTCATATTGAGCCGTTGGGAGTATTACTGATTTGTTATGTTCAAGTTTCTATGCATTTTATTTATTAATTCTCTTTCCTATTAAGTCTCTTTCTTGAAATAAAGTGCATCTTCATTAAATTTAAAGAGTGCATTGGATTTGAATAAAAAATTTGTTCTTTATATTGAGAAAATAATGAAGATGCTCTTTATTTATAGAAAGATTAGGGGTGAGAATGAAAATAGGTTCTACCCGGAACCGGCGGGTACCCAGTGTCCCGGTTTTGGGTAGCAACTGGAACTGACCCTCACAGGGTAGGTTCCGGTTCTAAAAAATAGGAACCAGGAACCGAAACTTGGAATAGGGTACCCTGCAAGGAACCGGTAACAAGGTACCTTACAAGGAACCGATAACAGGGTACCCTGCAAGGAATCGGTAACAAGGTACCCTACAAGGAACCGGGAATAGGATACCCTGCAAGAAACCGAGAAAAGAACCGGGGTTTATACAAACTAGTATACAACATTGGGGGGTTTTAATAAATTTTACCCCTAAACTAAACCTAACAATGAAATCCCCAAATCAATTTTAATTTTGTCATAGACTATATATTGAACATTTTGGATTTTGGATATGAAGAAGCTATGAATAATTTTAATATATAGTCTTACACTATGTATTAAAATTATTTGAAATATTGAAATTAATTAATAAGGAAAAAGTTAATTGTTATAGAATATTTAAACAAATGGGGGAATATTTGTAAATTTTACAAGTTTTTTTTTTTGTGTGTCATTTTGCAAAGTTACAAGGACCAATGATAATTATCCAGGGTACCTGGAACTAGACCTGGCAAACGGGCGGGCGTACAAGCGGGTCAACGGGTACCCGTACCCAACGGGCGGGTACGGGTACGGGTAATACATATCTCGACCCGTGAAAAATTAACCCGTACCCGGCCCGCCCGTGACTTTTACGGGTGGACCGGGTACTACCCGCGGGTACCCACAGACCCGCAAATTCAAAATTAAAAAAAAAAAAAAAAAACTGCTGAATGACTCGTCTCGTCCTCTCACAGTCTCACTCTCAAGTCTCAAGTCTCAACTCAAACCCTAATCTAAACCAAAATAGCAAAACTTATCAGAGAAAAGAAAAAAAAACGCAGCAGCCATTCTCTTCCACAGTAGCTCCACAGCCTCCACTGCTCCAGTCCTCTCACAGCAGCTCCAATCTCCCTCATTCTTTGACTTCTCTAATGGCAGCAGCAGGTCACGGCAGCGGCAGCAAGTCACGACAGTAGCAGCAGGTCACGGCAGCAGCAAGTCTCACTCACAGCAGCACCAGCACGGTAGCAGCAGTCTCCTCTCACGGCAGCACCAGCAGGTCATGGCAGCGGCAGCAGGTCACGGCAGCAGCAGATCTCACTCACGGCAACACCAGCACGGCAGCAGCAGTCTCCTCTCACGGCAGCACCAGCACGGCAGGTGGGCAGGACCTTTAAACATTTTGTAGTTGAATATTTGTTTTCGTAACTGTTACTGGGTGAGTGGGTGGGCACTAGGCAGGACCTTTAAACATTTTGTAGTTGAATATTTGTTTTCATAACTGTTACTGGGTGAGTGGGTGGGCAGGACCTTTAACTTAAACTTCAAATTTCTTTCCATTTCCAAGCTTCTAAAAGTAGGCAAAGTGCAAAATATCTTAAAAAATATGAAAAATATAAAAAGCTGCTTCCATTTTCACGGGTGACCCGCGGGTGACCCGTGCCCGCACGGGCGGGTACGGATCATGAAAATGTCGACCCGCGAGAATTTTTCACCCGTGACCCGTTGCTACCCGGACCATACCCGCCCGTTTGCCAGGTCTACCTGGAACCGAACCGATCGGTTTTATGAAAGATGCTCTTTAAAATAAAGAGTATCATTGGATATGCTCTTACATTTAAGATATTTAAAATCTTTGCAATTTTTACGACTTAACTTTCTCTATGAAATTAACTCTNAAAGAGCTGTTATTTGTCAATGGGTTAGAATATCATAATGTATTTTTGTTTTTAGGTTAATTTTGTATCAGAGAGACCTATTTTTAATTAATTATAAAAAAAAAAATTAACTTAAAAGCCATATTACACAACCATATCAATTGTAAAAGTTTTACCTGGCCAGTTGAATTGGGACTTTGGGGGGGCTTTTGTCGACGGGCTTTTGTTGGTGGGTTATCACTTTTAATTATTCACCCTAAACCTTAGAATTATGGATAGCGATCGGTGAGCATACGACGATAATTATGTTGGGGTTTTTAGAGAGAGAGTGTTGGTGGGTCTAAAGGTGGTGAAGTGAGTGATTTTCTATGAGTGAATCGGCTAGAAAAGGCAAAAATCAATCGGTCAAAACAGCTGTCTATTGTTGGTGATTGGCGGAGTGAATAGGGGAGGGGTAAGATGAGTTTTGGTCAGGAGGTTGAGGAGAGTATTTTTGTGGTGATGAGAAGTGTTGTCATTGTCAGAAACAGACCCTATTTAGCTTGGGTTGTTGACGTTGACAGTGGTGTTTGCGGTGTTTTTACAAAGATTTCAAATTTGTAAGAACTTATAGAAATTTTAGGGGTATTTTTGTTTAATTTCATACCTTTGAGTTTGAACATCGGTTCAACCTGTCAATCGCGAACTTTTTCGGGTTTCACCCCAAGTAGGTTGGTTATTAAAACATTTGAGTTATACTACAAGATTCAGAATTAATTAAGATATGTACATGTGCAATGGTTTAAAATTATTGATGATTTTCTCTTGAAGCGATTTCCATGTATGAAACTAACGAGCACGTTGGTACTTTGCCTTTGCTTCAAAAACAAATACAGTTTCAGTCGGTTCCCAATTCTAACCGACTCTATAGTTTCATTTTCATTGACCATTCTCTTTTATATGCATTATCAGTGCCACTCTTGGCGGTCCAAGCAATCTCATTCTTCCGTCAACTCCATCTTTTTCACCTTCCTTTCCGCCCCAATTTGACCTTCACAAACTGCAGTTTCCTATTACTTTATGATGTTTCTAAATTTAATTCACATTTGTATTAAACAACGTCAATTTGTTTTTGAAATATAACTGATTANCCAAGGGGCTGGGTCCGCCAAGAGTCTTGACGGTCCAAGCAATCTCATTCTTCCATCAACTCCGTCTTTTTCACCTTCCTTTCCGCCCCAATTTGACCTTCACAAACTGCAGTTTCCTATTACTTTATGATGTTTATAAATTTAATTCACATTTGTATTAAACAACGTCAATTTGTTTTTGAAATATAACTGATTATTAATTATTAAATGTAACAATTATTATGCTATATGTTACAAAAAAATCCCTTAATGATAAAGTTCTGGCCCAATTTTTAAAATTTTAATCCCATAAAAGAAAAGTAAAATAAATAGTCTTTGTTATAGGGATTCGGTATAGACTTTTGAATATATTACTCAAGAGGTTCAGAATTCGAGTCTCTACTCAGTTGCTAATAGTTGTTTCTGAATCCCAAAAGATTAGTTGAGACGTACGATGAGTTCGCCTGGACCGTTGTAAAAAATAAATAGATAAAAGGAAAAAAAGTCATGAGAATATATATATATATGGAAGTGAAGAAGTGCATGTCCAGAGCACACTGAAAACGCAAGCTCACACATGAAGCAGCATAATTAGATACAAAGTTTACGTAAAAAGAAACTGTTGTTTTACTTTGGGTGAGCCAGTAGCTTATAAATTGGCATCATAAATGCCAAACCAAACGAGCACCACCAACCACGGACTTTTCACTGAGATTATGCGCCGAAATTTCGTGCATGTATTCCACTGCTACAAACTTAAAACTAGACTAATGCTCTCTCTTTCCACACAACCTTCTTCTTCTTCACACTCACGAAAATTCGTTCAAATCGTTTACTACAAAAACCTTTCACAGAAAGAAAATTTCTTCACGTACAGTTCTAATGGATTCTCATGGTTTGATCCATGGAACCCAAACGGACCAAGCAGAACATCCATTTCTTGATTCACCAAAGCGTTCAAAATCTCGTAAAAGATTTACAAACCCAGTTCACTACATGCTTCGTTCTCAGCGACTCATTTTTCTCTTCGTTGGAATTTCCATCTCAGCTCTCTTTTTCAACCGATTTCCTATATCACGTCCGCCACCGTCGCATCACCATCAAATAATCGACCCGGGTTTTCAATCCCACTCGACTCACCTGACTCGTCGCCGGGTCCTCTACGAGACTCGCCAAGAGGAAAAGTTGTTTGGCCGCATCAATGCGGGTGGCAAAGTGCCTTTAGGCCTGAAAAGAAAAAGCTTGAGGATTCTGGTCACTGGTGGAGCCGGGTTCGTGGGCAGCCACCTGGTCGACCGTCTGATGGAGAGAGGTGATAACGTGATCGTGGTTGATAATTTCTTCACGGGGAGAAAAGATAACTTGATGCATCATTTTGGTAACCATCGGTTTGAGCTGATTAGACACGATGTGGTTGAGCCAATTCTTCTTGAAGTTGATCAGATCTACCACCTGGCATGCCCTGCCTCGCCCGTTCATTACAAATTCAATCCCGTCAAGACTATCATATCCTTTCCACATCTGCATTATGTTCTTTCTCCAATGCGTTTGCTTCCATTGAAAATTCTCAAACAACAATAAGAATTTTCCGTTTTAAGAACAATATCTTTGTTAATCTCGTCCAGGCTAACATTAAATCCCGTACTTGACGATAAACTGTATTAAAAATGTTAAAAATTTTGTTTTTTCTTTTCATATTTGCCTTTGTAATTAAGAGGGGGTTATTTTGAAGTCCTTAATTGTGATTTGGCGTGGCGGTTGCACAAGACGAATGTGGTTGGGACACTGAACATGTTGGGACTGGCGAAGAGAGTTGGCGCGCGGTTCTTGTTAACTAGCACGAGCGAGGTGTACGGTGATCCCCTGCAGCATCCGCAAGCCGAGTCCTACTGGGGCAATGTCAATCCCATAGGTCAGTGGCACTGCTTCATTTGTTTTTAAGTTTCGTATGTCCTACAAAATTTATATGCGAATGTGAGTGGGACCTTACAGTCATTTCATATTCTCATCCGTCGGCAGGTGTAAGGAGCTGCTATGATGAGGGAAAACGCACCGCTGAGACCTTGACCATGGACTATCACAGAGGACTTGGAATTGAGGTTAATAAATCTACATTTCCTATTAAATGAAGAAAAACTTGTATTATAAAATTTATAAATTTGTTTTATAGGTGAGGATTGCTAGGATTTTTAACACTTATGGACCACGTATGTGTATTGATGATGGTCGTGTGGTTAGCAATTTCGTTGCCCAAGTGAGTTTTATCAGCTCTTCTTACTGATTTACTAACATTGGCATTTGGCCTCTTAAGTAAAATTGAATCTGACATAACTTGAAAATTGTACAGGCATTGAGGAAGGAGCCATTGACAGTGTATGGGGACGGCAAGCAAACCAGGAGTTTCCAATACGTTTCAGACTTGGTAATTAAAGCCTTTTGTCAGCTTTTATATTTGTCTAGATTATGCATGTGACTTTGCTTGCTCAGTGTAGTAACATCTATTTTCTAAATTTGGGAGATATTTGATATAATCCCGCTAATCTACTTAGAAGAGGTCAACTACGAAGGCAGCCATTAATTGTAGATTTCAGGGTGAAGGTTGTATAGTCTGTTTCATGCATTGAAATGCATTAATATGTTCATGCAATCATGCTTGGCCAAGATGGCGACTTCCTGTTGGTGTCTTCTGTTTGTGGGTCACAAACTCACAGCTATTTTAGATAATGCACCTAAAAGAGTTGCCAATCAAGTTGAAATTGTAATAATATCAGAGCATTATTCATAGAAATAGGAAAATAACTGGACGTGGTGGAGCATGACAGCAAGTCAGTTCTGCTAAATTTAAGCTGAACATTAACATGAACATTAAGACTCTGTTCCGGGATAAGGGTTGTTTAAGGATGCGGGGTAGACTCTGATTTTCATGTCCTCTAGATAATATACTCACAGTACATATAATTTATGGTGAACATGAGCCCTGACAGAAACTTTTTTTTGGTTTTATGTGTAAAATCTACAGGTAGAGGGTCTAATTCGTCTTATGGAAGGCGAATCTGTCGGTCCTTTCAATCTGGGTAATCCTGGTGAATTTACCATGCTTGAACTCGCACAGGTACAACTGTTAATTTATCAGTAACACCTCGGTTACAGAACATAAGTTAGGATCCCAACTTTACAGCATTAGATTGATTTGGCTGCCTTGTTTGTGCAGGTGGTTCAAGAGGTGATAGATCCAAATGCTAAAATAGAGTTCAGGCCTAATACAGAGGATGATCCACATAAAAGAAAGCCAGACATTACAAAAGCCAAGAGGCTTCTAGGGTGGGAGCCCACTGTGTCCCTCCGCAAGGGCCTGCCTCACATGGTTTCTGACTTCAGACAGCGCATCTTTGGCAACCAAAAGGAAGGTGGCGCCACCACCACCTCCTCACTGTACTCTGCTTAAGTTCACATACAGCGAGGGACAGTTAGCCTCTCTATTCACTCCCTGTTGGAATAAATCGGCAGCTGCTACAATGAAATTATTGTTATTAGGTTCAGAGTTTCTGGGTATTTTCAGGTCAGAGAAGCAAATCATGGGAAACTCTTTAAGAGCTAAGAGGAGTGAAGCTTCTGTTTTCTGTTAGGGGTTCTTTCTATATATGTTGTGCCATTGCCACCACTTAAGCAAATAATTATTTATTTTGTTGTGATTTGTGGAGGCCAATTTGCAATTTGATGTTTTATATATGGTTATAATTCAGAATTCTCTAGCTTCAGTCAATTTACTGGTTATTGATGTCCTTTTCTCTAGAATTGGAATTATTTTGGTCTTGATTTGATAAAATTTTGTTTGAGCGTCAGTTCACTGTTAATTTGGAATTACAAAAATATTCATGGACAGATAAATAAAAAAAATGCATAAAAAATACTAAATAAACACATCTCACACTAATATCGTTTGCATAAATTGGAAACCTCTTTTTATGTGTGGGAAAATACCGGATTACTATTCATATAAAGATATCTTATAATGATTTAGATATCAAGTAATATGTTAAAAAATGAACGGAAAGTAAATATAGAAAGTCAAATTCATTATATTTATTCTACCGTTAATTAATTGCCACACCATCTTATATGCATATCTTTGTAATAAGTCTTCCACACCATCTTATATGCATATCTTTGTAATAAGTCTTTGTATGTGTAATATTATTGTGTCGTTATCCTTAGTGATAATAATAAAGATTAGCTCACAACGTAATTTTATAAACTTTTTTTTACAACCTCAACATGGCAACTTATAATTAGTTGGCTCACAATTAGGCAGACGGTACTCATTTGTGAGTTGACTAATTGTAAACTGTCACGTCGGGGTTGTGAGAGAAAGTTTGTGAGATTGAGTTGTAACTTTCTTTCACAATCCTGACATAGCAACTCGTAATTGATCAGGTGGGACCTATAGCGAGCAAACGGGACACATTTGCGAGCTGACCAATTATAAATTAATATATTAGGATTATGAAAGAAAATTTATAAGATTGAATTGTAAGTGTAGTATTACCTTATTGATAATTCCTATTATAATATAATTTTAAAATTTTAAAATCTTAAAAGATTCTCATTTTTAGGCCCAGCCCAGATTCTCTTCCCGTGGTTTAAAGGTTATTGGGTCAAATGCCACAGATAGACCAACCCAAGTTGGCTCTCTTTTTTCGAATGAAACTACTAAACTACCCTCGCTACTCTCCAAAGATAAAATTCTCAATAATCCCTATAACCTAGCTTCTCGCTCAACCCATTCTCAAACACTGCACTAAACCTCAGACAACACACTCTCGTCGGCTCGTTACACTCAATCAGTGCCCTCCATTTCGTCTTCTTCTGATCTTAATCTCGCGGAAAAAGATTCAATTCTTGCAGGTGATAATTTTTATTGACTGTGATTGCGTTATTTTTTCATGTTTTAGTTCGAATTTAATGGCATGTGATTTTGTTAAGGAATCTTTTTTTTTTAATCGCACAAAAAAAAAAAAAAAAAAATTTAGGGTTTTAGTTGTGCCTCTTTTAAGTTATTGCGCTATTAAATCTTGTGTTGGATTTAGGGTTTCTGTGAATATATTTGGGATTTTTGAGTCCCATTAAAATTTATTTGGGTAACTGGTATTAGTATGTATTGCATTATGCTAAGATCATGACAGGAAAAATATTTCTAGTCGTAATAATAATCTTACTGATACTAGATAAAGTGAATAAAAATTTATAGTGGTAGTTATTTGATTGATGCAGTTTTAGGCCTTTCAGCTTGTGAGTGTTTAACATCGCCCGTTGCCAAAAAAGTTTCTGAAAGAGGAACTCTTCGTGGAACAGCCAAGATGTCGAGAAAAGGTTTAATGGAGCAAGACTTGAGTAAACTGGATGTAACAAAGTTGCATCCACTTTCTCCTGAAGTCATCTCTAGGCAGGCAACTATAAATATTGGTACTGTTCTTTCTTTCCCATGAGATGTATAGGCTGTCTTTTCACGTTTACTACTCAACAAAATAGTTCTATGATGGATCTTTTTACATTGTTAGGCTTAGAAATTTCTGTAACTGTTAATCCCTTTTGGATTTTAATTAAGGGTTGAAAATTGAAATTGATGATATATGGTTTGATTTATGTTTCCAGGCACTATTGGTCATGTGGCACATGGAAAATCAACTGTTGTGAAGGCAATATCTGGTGTTCAGGTGACTAATTGCTTTCATGTTTTTGCTGCTAAGCTGATAACTCTCTCGGGAAGCATGTTCGATATTTGATTTTTTTCTCCCATACAGTGATCATTGATTTTAGTTAATAATTCTGTAATGGTCTTCCTCTATTCGAATGTGCTATATCCTATTGATGCTTATTTAACTTATTTAGTTTTATGAGATGTCAAATGAAAAATAATCGCACAACTTGGGAAGAAAGAAGAAAACATGGATCTATACAGTGTCTTTGGGCTATGTAAAAAATACCAGTTAGTGATTAGATGCCAGTTGGCTTGGATGTCTTCAGTAACTTCCTTTTACTGCAGAGAAGGGAACGCTTCCTCTTAAGTTAGGCTTTGAAAATAGTGACTACTCTTTGGTCTGTTTTGCAGAAAGTGTCTCAAAGATAGATTATTTGAATTTTCGACACTAGGGAAGGCTAATGATTTTGAAGAGCAATTCATTAAATAAAAAGACACCCTCCTTACTTTTGAATTGACAAAAAGGGAACTTTATGTGAGTTGAAGCCCCAAATTGCAAAGTTTTCTGATAAAGATCAAAGTGGTTTTCCTTGGAGATAGAAAATTTTCCTTCCTAGTTTTATGAATTGCAAATTCTTTCTTAGTTGAGCACTTCCATGGGATTTATCTAAACTGTCCACATAAGTTTTATTTTGAATTGGTAAAGACTTCATTTACCAGTGCCTTCATTTGAGTTTAGGTAGGAATTAGGAAGTAATTAAGAAGATGGTGCATTTAATATTCAATTTTGTGGCAAGTTATTTGCGTGAATGATCTAATAGGACCTCTTTCTTTGCCTTTTATTTCTAGACTGTTCGTTTTAAAAATGAGTTGGAGCGTAATATTACAATCAAGCTTGGATATGCAAACGCCAAGATATACAAATGTGAAGATGATCGATGCCCTCGACCTATGTGCTACAAGTGGGTGCCATATACTGATGTAAATTTGTTAGCAAATAATGTAACTTTGCTTTCAAATGATTTTTGTAGTGCCACAAGCTAATATGCAATTTTCATTTTTGTAGGGCATATGGGAGTGGCAAGGAGGACAGTCCCATGTGTGATGTGCCTGGGTTTGAAAACTGCAGGATGAAATTGCTGAGGCACGTCTCTTTTGTCGATTGCCCAGTAAGTAGAAAGCGATGTTTTCCAGTATAATATATATGATTGTGACTAGGATCTGGATGATGTATAAAATATGTTGATTTCATGATGTTTCTGGTGTGCATATGTGTGAGCTTATGTATCACCATTGTGTCTTGATCAATCCTGTCTTCGGTTCTGTTCAATTTGGGAGTATTGGCAATATTTTCTTCATTGGATGGGCCTTCTAGTTGTAATACCTACCCTGTTGCTCTGTATGTCCTTTTGTGAAGTTCTTAAACAGATTTGACCCTTCTTATCAAATGAACTGTTTCATTTGTAAAAACTAATATAGCCTTTAGAAAATAAAAGGAAAAAGGTTGAGTGAGCTTATCTTTTCCTCACAGTATATGAAGGTTGAGTGAGTTTTCTACTTATTTGAATAGGGTCACGATATTCTCATGGCTACAATGCTTAACGGAGCAGCAATTATGGACGGGGCGTTACTTCTCATAGCTGCCAATGAAAGTTGTCCCCAACCACAAACTTCTGAGCACCTTGCTGCTGTTGAAATCATGCGCCTTCAACATATCATAATTCTTCAAAACAAAGTTGATCTGATTCAGGAAAATGTAGCCATTAACCAACATGAGGCCATTCAAAAATTTATCCAGGTTAAATCTTCTTAGACTATTCTTGTCAAACAAATCTCTCTTATTTGATATCAACTTGTATATGGAATGTATATGTTTTGTTGGTGTAATGTTTCCCTAGCTTCAAGGAAAAAATTATGTCACTGATGTTGCTTAACATTGTTTAACCAGGGAACTGTTGCTGATGGTGCCCCTGTTGTGCCAATTTCTGCCCAGCTGAAATATAACATCGATGTTGTTTGTGAATACATCGTTAAAAAGATTCCCATTCCAGAGAGGAACTTCACCTCACCGCCTAATATGATTGTTATCCGGTCATTTGATGTCAATAAGCCTGGGTTCGAGGTTGATGAGATAAGAGGTGGTGTAGCTGGTGGAAGTATCCTTAGGGTGCGTTATTTTTTCATGACTTAGCTTTGAGAGCCATTCTATGGTGTGCTGAAGATGCTTAATTATGAGCTCTAATATTTGTGTGCTGAAGGGCTAAAAGCAGAAAAAGTCCCTATACATATTTTTCAAAAGTCCTTTCCTTGGATTTTTTTTTTTTTTTTTTTTAATTTATTTTTTAATTGGTTTTGTACATTAGTTTGGAAAAAGAAAGGGAAAAAATCCCTGAGTACAAGCGTTCAGAAAGATCATCAGTATGTTCTGTGTAGGGATGTGCAATGGGATGGTTTGTTTTATTTTTAGATAATGGGTGACTTCAGTTTGGTCCCAAATCAATGTTGTAATTGGTGATTCTATTTTTGCAGGGTGTTTTGAAAATTAATCAGTTTATTGAGGTTCGCCCTGGTATTGTTGTTAAAGACGAGAATGGGCATATAAAGTGCACACCAATATATTCTAGAATAGTTTCACTGTATGCTGAACAAAATGAGCTACAGTTTGCTGTACCTGGAGGTCTCATTGGTGTTGGCACAACCATGGACCCTACTTTGACGCGTGCTGATAGGTTGGTGGGTCAGGTTCTTGGGGAAGTTGGATCACTCCCTGAGGTTTTTGTTGAGCTTGAGGTAAGAAGCTGAGCCTGCAAGATCTTTGTATCTTTGAATTTTGATTAAACCCAGTATCTATGTTAGCTAAGTGGGTTATTATGTTTGTTGTGCATGTACATCTGTTTTAAGTTCCCAACATGTGTGAGCAGGACAGGAGATGTTTCAAATTATATGTTTTCTTGCTGTAGAAGAGAATATAATTTGTTGTTGGTGAATAGATTATGATGTCCCGAAATTCTAATGGTCCTGAATATTGATGATGCGTGATATTGCAGGTGAATTTTTTCCTACTGCGTCGGCTTTTGGGTGTCCGTACAAAGGGCTCAGAAAGGCAGGGAAAAGTCTCCAAACTTGCCAAGGCAGAGATTCTAATGTTGAACATAGGGTCCATGTCAACTGGTGCTAGAGTTATTGCTGTGAAGAATGATTTAGCAAAACTGCAACTCACATCTCCAGTGTGTACGAGCAAGGGTGAGAAGATTGCTCTCAGTCGGAGAGTTGAGAAGCACTGGCGTCTTATTGGGTGGGGTCAGATTCAAGCTGGAACCACCCTTGATGTTCCTGACTGTCCCCCGCTAGTTTGAAGGAGATCAAGAATAACACTAAGAGAAAACTAGTACAACGGTGAGAGTAATAGTTGAGAAATGTGGGAAGGGTGGGTCGGATCATTAAAAATGTCGACCCGGAGAATTTTCATCCGTTCCACCTGACCCGTTGCTACCCGGACCTACCCGCCCCACCCGCCCGTTTGCCAGGTCTAGGTAGGCCCAAGGGCTGGGTCCGCCAAGAGTCTTGACGGTCCAAGCAATCTCATTCTTCCTCAACTCCTCTTTTTCACCTTCCTTTCCGCCCCAATTGACCTTCACAAACTGCAGTTTCCTATTACTTTATGATGTTTCTAAATTTAATTCACATTTGTATAACAACGTCAATTTTTTTTGAAATATAACTGATTATTAATTATTAAATGTAACAATTTATGCTATATGTTACAAAAAAATCCCTTAATGATAAGTTGGCCCAATTTTTAAAATTTAATCCCATAAAAGAAAAGTCAAATAATAGTCTTTGTTATAGGGATTCGGTATAGGACTTTTGAATATATTACTAAGAGGTTCAGAATTCGAGTCTCTACTCGTTGCTAATGTTGTTTTGAATCCAAAAAGATTGTGAGACGTACGATGAGTTGCCTGGACCGTTGTAAAAAATAAATAATAAAAGGAAAAAAGTCATGAGATATATATATATATATGGAAGTGAAGAAGTGCATGTCCAGAGAGACACTGAAAACGCAAAGTCACACATGAAGCAGCATAATTAGATACAAGTTTACGTAAAAAGAAACTGTTGTTTTACTTTGGGTGAGCAGTAGCTTATAAATGGCACATAAATGCCAAACCAAACGAGCACCACCAACCCGGACTTTTCACTGAGATTATGCGCCGAAATTTCGTGCATGTATTCCTGCTACAAACTAAAACTGACTAATGCTCTTCTCTTCCACCAACCTTCTTCTTCCACTCACGAAAATTCGTTCAAATCGTTACTAAAAAACTTTCACAGAAAGAAAATTTCTTCACTACAGTTCTAATGGATTCTCATGGTTTGATCCATGGAAACCCAAACGGACACGCAGAAAAACCATTTCTTGATTCACCAAAGCGTTCAAATCTCGTAAAAGATTTACAAACCCAGTTCACTACATGCTTCGTTTCAGCGACTCATTTTTCTTCGTTTGGAATTTCCATCTCAGCTCTTTTTTCAAACCGATTTCTATACGTCGCCACCGTCGCATCACCATCAAATAATCGACCCGGGTTTTCAATCCCACTCGACTCACGATCGTCGCCGGGTCCTCTCGAGACTGCCAAGAGGAAAAGTGTTTTGGCCGCATCATGCGGGTGGCAAAGGTGCTTAGGCCTGAAAAGAAAAAGCTTGAGGATCTGGTCACTGGTGGAGCCGGGTTCGTGGGCAGCCACCGGTCGACCGTCTGATGGAGAGAGGTGATAACGTGATCGTGGTTGATAATTTCTTCACGGGGAGAAAAGATAACTTGATGCATCATTTTGGTAACCATCGGTTGAGCTGATTAGACACGATGTGGTTGAGCCAATTCTTCTGAAGTTGATCAGATCTACCACCTGCATGCCCTGCTGCCCGTTCATTACAAATTCAATCCGTCAGACTATCATATCTTTCCACATCTGCATATTTTCTTTCTCCAATGCGTTTGCTTCCATTGAAAATTCTCAAACAACAATAAGAATTTTCCGTTTAAGAACAATATCTTTGTAATCTCGTCCGGCTAAAATATATCCCGTACTTGACGATAAAATGTTTAAAAATGTTAAAAATTTTGTTTTTTCTTTTCATATTTGCCTTTGTAATTAAGAGGGGGTTATTTTGAAGTCCTTAATTGTGATTTGGGCGGTTGCACAAGACGAATGTGGTTGGGACACTGAACATGTTGGGACTGGCGAAGAGAGTTGGCGCGCGGTCTGTTAACTAGCACGAGCGAGGGTACGGTGATCTGCAGCATCCGCAAGCCGGTCCTACTGGGGCAATGTCAATCCATAGGTCAGTGGCATGCTCATTTGTTTTAAGTTTGTATGTCCTACAAAATTTATATGCGAATGTGAGTGGGACCTTACAGTCATTTCATATTCTCATTCGTCGGCAGGTGTAAGGAGCTGCTATGATGAGGGGAAACGCACCGCTGAGACCTTGACCATGGACTATACAGAGGACTTGGAATTGAGGTTAATAAATCTACATTTCCATTAATGAAGAAAAACTTGTATTATAAAATTTATAAATTTGTTTATAGGTGAGGATTGCTAGGATTTTTAACACTTATGGACCAGTATGTGTATTGATGATGGTCGTGTGGTTAGCAATTTCGTTGCCCAAGTGAGTTTTCAGCTCTCTTACTGATTTACTACATTGGCATTTGGCCTTTTAAGTAAAATTGAATCTGACATAACTTGAAAATTGTACAGGCATTGAGGAAGGAGCCATTGACAGTGTATGGGGACGGCAAGCAAACAGGAGTTTCCAATAGTTTCAGAATTGGTAATTAAAGCTTTTGTCAGCTTTTATATTGTTAGAATGCATGTGACTTTGCTTGCTCAGTGTAGTAACATCTATTTTCTAAATTTGGGAGATATTGATATAATCCCGCTAATCTACTTAGAGAGGTCAACACGAAGGCAGCCATTAATTGTAGATTTCAGGGTGAAGGGTGTATAGTCTGTTTCACGCATTGAAATACATTAATATGTTCGTGCGCATCTGCTTGGCCAAGATGGCGACTTCCTGTTGGTGTTTCTGTTGTGGGTCACAAACTCACAGCTATTTTAGATAATGCACCTAAAAGAGTTGCCAATCAAGTTGAAATTGTAATATATCAGAGCATTATTCATAGAAATAGGAAATAACTGGACGTGGGGGAGCATGACAGCAAGTCAGTTCTGCTAAATTTAAGCTGAACATTAACATGAACATTGAACTGAATCTCTGTTCGGGAAGAAGGTTGTTAAGGATGCGGGGGTAGACTCTGATTTCATGTCCTCTAGATAATATACTCACAGTACATATATTATGGTGGAACATGAGCCCTGACAGAAACTTTTTTGGTTATGTGTAAATCTACAGGTAGAGGGTCTAATTCGTCTTATGGAAGGCGAATCTGTCGGTCCTTTCAATCTGGGTAATCCTGGTGAATTACCATGCTTGAACTCGCACAGGTACAACTGTTAATTTATCAGTAAACCTCGGTTACAGAAACATAAGTAGGATCCCAACTTTACAGCATTAGATTGATTTGGCGGCTTGTTTGTGCAGGTGGTTCAAGAGGTGATAGATCCATGCTAAAATAGAGTTCAGGCCTAATACAGAGGATGATCCACATAAAAGAAAGCCAGACATTACAAAAGCAAGAGGCTTTAGGGTGGGAGCCCACGTGTCCCTCCGAAGGGCCTGCCTCACATGGTTTCTGACTTCAGACAGGCATCTTTGGCAACCAAAAGGAAGGTGGCGCAACACACACTCCTCAGTACTCTGCTTAAGTTAACATAACACAAGTATCAGCTCTTATTCACTCCCTGTTGGAATAAATCGGCAGCTGTACAATGAAATTATTGTTATTAGGTTCAGAGTTTCTGGGTATTTTCAGGTCAGAGAAGCAAATCATGGGAAACTCTTAAGAGCTAAGAGGGGTGAAGCTTTGTTTTCTGTTAGGGGTTCTTTTATATATGTTGTGCCATTGACCCACTTAAGCAAATAATATTTATTTTGTTGTGATTTGTGGAGGCCATTGCATTTGATGTTTTAATATGGTTATAATTCAGAATTCTCTAGTTCAGTCAATTTACTGGTTATTGATGGCTTTTCTCTGAATTGGATATTTGGTCTTGATTTGAAAAATTTTGTTTGAGCGTCAGTTCACTGTTAATTGGAATTACATAAATATTCATGGCAATAAATAAAAAAAATGCATAAAAAATACTAATAAAAACACATCACACTAATATGTTTGCATAATTGGAAACCCTTTTTAGTGTGGGAAAATACCGGATTATATTTCAATAAAGATATCTTATAATGATTTAGATATCAAGGTAATATGTTAAAAAATGAACGGAAAGTAAATATAGAAAGTAAATTATATATTATTCTACTTAATAATTGCCACACCATCTTATATGATATCTTTGTAAATTTCCACACCATCTTTATGCATATCTTTGTAATAAGTCTTGTATGTGTATATTATTGTCGTTTCCTTAGTGTAATAATAAAGATTAGCTCACAACGAATTTATAAACTTTTTTTACAAACTCAACATGGCAACTATAATTATGGCTCACAATTAGGCAGCAGTACTCATTGTGAGTTGACAATTGTAAATCACACGGGGTTGTGAGAGAAATTTGAGATTGGTTGTAATTTCTTTCACAACCTGACATAGCAACTCGTAATTGATAGGTGGACCTATAGGAGCAAAGGACACATTTGCGAGATGACAATTGTAATTAATATTGGATTATGAAAGAAAATTTAAGATTGATTGTAAGTGTAGTATACCTATTGATAATTCCTATATAATATATTTTAAAATTTTAAATCTTAAAAGATTCTCATTTTAGGCCCAGCCCAGATTCTTCTCCCGTGGTTTAAAGGTTATGGGTCAAGCCACAGATAGACCAAACCAATTGGCCTCTCTTTTCGAATGGAACTACTAAACTACCCTCGCACTTCCAAGAAAAATTCTCAATAATCCCTATAACCTACTTCTCGCTCAACCCATTCTCAACACTGCACAAACCTCAGACAACACATCTCGTGGCTTGTTACACTCAATCAGTTCCCTCCATTTCGTCTCTTCTGATCTTAATCTGCGGAAAAAGATTCATTCTGCAGGTGATAATTTTATTGACTGTGATTGCGTTATTTTTTCATGTTTTAGTTCGAATTTAATGGCATGTGATTTTGTTAAGGAATCTTTTTTTTTCGCACACAAAAAAAAAAAAAAAAAATTTAGGGTTTTGTTGTGCCTCTTTTAAGTTATTGCTATTAAATCTTGTGTTGGATTTAGGGTTTCTGTGAATATATTTGGGATTTTTGAGTCCATTAAAATTATTTGGGTAACTGGTA